ATGATGGGGCACTATTCCACCCCCCACTGACACCAATGATGGGGCACTATTCCACCCCCCACTGACACCAATGATGGGGCACTATTCCCCCCACTGATACTAATGATGGGGCACTATTCCTGCCACTGATACCAATGATGGGGCACTATTCCTCCCACTGATACCAATGATGGGGCACTATTCCTCCCACTGATACCAATGATGGGGCACTATTACCCCCACTGATACTAATGATGGGGCACTATTCCTGCCACTGATACCAATGATGGGGCACTATTCCTTCCACTGATACCAATGATGGGGCACTATTCCCCCCACTGATACTAATGATGGGGCACTATTCCTGCCACTAATGCCAATGATGGGGCACTATTCCTGCCACTGATACCAATGATTGGGCACTATTCTTGCCACTGACACCAGTGATGGGGCACTATTCCTCCCACTGATACCAATGATGGGGCACTATTCCTCCCACTGACACCAATAATGGGGCACTATTCCTCCCACTGATACCAATGATGGGGCACTATTCCTGCCACTGATACCAATGATGGGGCACTATTCCTGCCACTGATACCAATGATGGGGCACTATTCCTGCCACTGATACCAATGATGGGGCACTATTCCTGCCACTGATACCAATGATGGGGCACTATTCCTCCCACTGGTGTGCATTGGAAGAGGGGTAGTCTTATATGGCGAGTATAGCCCAAACACTACATTTTAGCAGGAAAAGTAGGGGGTCGTCTTATACGCCCAGTCGTCTTATACGCCGGCAAATACGGTATTGCAAATTAAGGGAATCCCTTGAGAACCCCCAGGTCACCAGAACTAGTGTCCCCATTGGAAGATTTCCCTTCTATTTCTTTTCTGGGGACAACACAAAATTTAGGAGATTCTTTTACTTTCACTTATAATAATAATAACAGTAAACAGGACAAATAGAGAAGGTGAATCTCTCTAATGGGAGCACAGGCAGCAATCAAATCTGACAGGTGTTCTAATTCCTCTCCAATCTATCCAAAACTTAAAAAAAGTTTTGCCTTTAGTTATACTTGAAAATTAAGCTTTCTGGCATACTGTGAAGAACCTACAGATCCTACACACTATCTTCTTGGTCTAACAATTCTGGGTTTATCTTCTACCGTACCAAGACTTATCTCTCATGTCATTACAACAGCAAAAATGCTTGATAGCCCTAAAGTGGAAACACAGAGAGACCTACTCAACCCCTTAAGTGGGGTTCAAAGAGTTTCCGAGTTCCAGTCAGATAGACCACACAACTTCAATATAATAAAACTTGGGACCTTTGAGCAACTTTTGTTATTATTGTGACTGATTGAGGGTTTCCTGCTGTGTGATATTGACCATACCCTGTAGCTGGATACCCCCCCCCCCCCACCACACACACACACACAACAGAAACTATTATTTCTCTGGTTCTACTGTCCCCTCTATACCATCTCCCATTCCTTTTTATTTTCATAATTACTGCAAAGAGTGGAAAAAAATGTGTTTTGCTCTAGTCATGTCATGGAAATACAGGACGTACTCTTTATTCCCTGTGCTCCACAACTTGTGGATATGGACCCTCAAGTAATTTCTATGCACAACCCTGAACTTCACCTAGACTGGTACAAACATCTCAGGGATATCAGCAATCTCCAAATAACTGAACTGTTCCATACCCCCTTCCCCTGACCCTTTTCCCTTTACCTCTTCCTTGCTCCCATTTCAACATGGATCACCTTATTTCCAATAACTACTGTATAGTATTGTGACTGTACTTGGTTCAAATATGTCTCTATTCCTACTGTTTATTGTTAAAAAATACATAAAATAAAGTTATAACAAAACAAAGAGGAAATTTCACTAAGTTTATAGTCTGCATGAATACATTTTAACATGTCATAAAATACAGTAACTGCATAATATTTGAAAAAAGTCCTCCTATACTGTAGTCAAATGTCTTTGCCTAAACTGAGATTATGTCAATAGTCTGCTGCAAGCAGCAGGAAGCATTTCCATGGTCTCCTCTATTTCAGTGATCAGACTTCAATAGTGTGACTATGGGTTTATTTACTAAAGCTGGACAGTGCAAAATCTGGTGCACTTCTGCAGAGAAACCAGTCAGTTTCCAGATTTTATTGACAAAGCTTAAAGTGATTCTAAAGACTTACGTTAAAAAAAAAATAACAAACATGTCTAAAATTACCTGCTGTCTGCAGTGGTTTTGCACAGAGGAGCCCGGATCCTCCTCTCTTCGGCCGGCACTCCTGGCCCCTTCCTCTTGTTGGATGCCCCTCCCAGCTAGCAACTTACTATGGGGGCACCCAAGCATGCGCACCCCCCATCCCGCTGCTCCATGTGTCTATTCACACATGGAGCATTGGCTCGACCCCGCCCCCTCTCTTCTCATTAGCTCACTGGCTGTGATTGACAGCAGCAGGAGCCAATGGCTCCAACTGCTGTCTCAGCCAATGAGGAGAGGAAGTACTGGGATAGTCGAGACTCCAGTACCCATCGCTGGATCGAGAGGTAGCTTAGGTGAGTATTTGGGGGGGATGCTACACAGAGAAGGCTTTTTACCATCATGCATAGAATTCATGAAACTAAAAAACCTTGAGCCTTTAAAACCACTTTAATAAACAAGCTGAGGTTAGAAGCTGAATTGGCTACCATGCACAGGTGCACCAGATTCTGAGTGAACATACTTTAGTAAATCTCCCGCTATGTAACAAGGCAGAAAGTAAAAGACTGCAGAATATTATATCAGGGGTAGGCAACCTTAAAGCAAAGTTCCACTCATTCTGTAAAAAAATAAAAGTCAGCAGCTATAAAAACTGTAGCTGCTGACTCTAACAAAACAGCCACTCACCTGTCCCACGATCCCGCATTGCCCCCGCCACAGCCTGTTTCACCGGCCGTCCTGTATTCCAGGCACCAGCATCTTCAGTGTGGGCACCCGGCTGTGACAGCTTGCAGCTTCCCAAGTAGCACTGTGCTTCCTGAATGGCCCCGTCGTCTTCTGGGACCTGTCACGTGTCCCACAAGACTATGGTGATGGAGGGTAGGAGGACAACTTCCGTTTCCAATCGCCTAGGCGTTCGCAGCAGAAGTGGGAGTGGGTACCTGACAAATTCAGGTACCCGTCCCCCCCCCTCCCCAAAGGTGCCAATCCTTAATGGGGAGTGGGGGACCAATTTTTAAAGCGGAACTTCCCCTTTTGGGTGGAACTCTGTTTTAAAGAGGTGGAGATCCTCCTGAACACCATGGGAGAAGTCAAAGATCACCGTGCACAGTGTTACCTCCTCACACCTGATTTAAACCTCTAATTGCCATACTATCGTGTCACAACCCCGTGCATCGCAAGGCAGTCACAGGTTTAAATCAGGTGATGAGAAGGCAACATAACGCCTCCTCAGCACCTGCCAAATGTATTGGGATCAATTTACAGAGGAGCAGCAGTGCCTACTGCACTTGTGAATGAGCCGTAAGTTGTAATCGGCAGCGGCACCCAAAAGGCTTGTTGACATGTAAAGTTGGGGGTGGTAAAACCCTGCGGTTGAATCACAGGTTTACCACCCCCAATCCCTACCGTCTTTAGCTGCGGAGGCAGCAGCCAAAGGTGTGCATATGCCACAGCAGGAATTACACCCTCTGTTGCTTTTGGTGGGTGCTACCTGTCAGCCGAGACCCATTCAAGTAAATGGGCCACTCTGCAAGTGCATGCTTCTGCGGGGTTCAAGGGCTTAAAGCAGGTGGTGGTGAGAAAGCAGCACAGCGCTGCCTGTTTACCCCTTGTTTACTGTACTGCACAAGGTTGCAGGGCTCTTGCAGAGCGGCCTCATTCACTTAAATGGGTCATGCTTGGCAGGTGCTACACCCACCAACCTTGACGGGGTGTAGGAACCAGCACTACAGAGGAGACAGCAACTTATGTGGTTCTTGCTCCCTACTACAGCTCCAACTTTACAAGTAGTCCCTCTGCTTTGCACTTTGATGCTCTGGGTTTGTGGGCCAGCAAGCCCAGATGGAGATCTACCAGTCATTTGGCCGAGATCTTCTGGTTGCTAACCCCCGATTTATATTATTGCATTGAATACAGATTTTTGAACAATGTATCAAGTATTCGGACGTAGCACTGCTGGAGGGTTGGTTTATTTTAACATTTAACACTAGATGGTGCCAGTGCACTGTCTTGCTCTGCCTTTATATTCTTTTTTTTTAAAAAAGCATACAATTGGTCCTAACTGTCCACCAAGAAACAGGAGAAATGTCTACTGAATGAAATACAGGAGTTGCAGTTGCTGACTCACCCAAAAAAATATCATGTGCCTGGCTTTCCCTAGCTTCAATACCTTCTGCTTCAGACTGATCTGCATACTCTACAGCAGCCTTTCTCAACCAGGGTGCCCAGGCACCCTGGGGTGCCTTGAGGTTTCTTCAGGGGTGCCTTGGCAAAATGTCTACAAATTGACCAAAACTTGTATACAAATCAGCAGGTGGAACAAGCCTGCCTTTTAGTTACTCAAAGTCACAGATCTTCATTGTGCACCATTACGACCTTCTAGCAACCGGCATCCTGACAACCAATGACATCATCAGCTGATAAGGAGGTTGTCTGGTGTCTGCACAGCATCCTAGATTGACCCTCTCCTGCCCTTCTCCATCAGTGCTGGGGTCACATTAGCTCAGTGATGGAGAAACACTGAGGGAGAAGAGAAACCCTGGAATACTACTCGGTACCAGTGTGCTTTGGAACAATTCAGCTGTAATGTTGGATGACCTACATTTGTGGATGTTGTTGCGTAATATAAAACTATTAGAATCGTTTTTCACATTTTAGAATGTTTATAACGTTATGGACAGTCTTGAGGCACCCCATTTTAGAATGGGGTGCCTCAAGATCAGGGGTGGACTGACCATTTGGAAACTCGGGCACTGCCCGAGGGCCCGGGGTCAGTAGGGGGCCCCATGAGATGCCCCTGGTACCTTTTTCATAGGCTTTTTTGAGTTTGGGCAAGGACACAGGGGCCCCATGATTCCCTATTGCCCGGGGGCCCCATGAGTTGTCAGTCCGCCCCTGCTCAAGACTGTCCATAATTTTAAAGGGTGCCTTGACTGAAAAAAAGGTTGAGAAACACTGCTCTACAGTATTAGAACTCTTGGGTCAGCTTGAAAGTCAGGCAACTGGCATTTTCAGAAAAGATCAGCAAAATGTAGCCTCCATACTCTATCAGTGTAGGGGTAATTGAAGCCAAATCGTTTGATCTAGTTTTGCATAGATCAGGGAATGATAAGAGCCTCTGTCAGGTTTTTATATCTACCTTGCTCTTATTGGGGAGATTCTTCTTCCTGTGATGAGATATCTCTCCCAACAGGGACAGATACAAAAACACATTTTTAGTAGAGTGTGGACTGGTTAGACCTGATATAATTTTTTTTGTTGCCTGTTACCTCTTGCATCCTACTGGATGCAGTCAATGGGAAAGATTACTACTTGATTGTGTCCTGGTATCATTCTCTTGCCGTCTATTTTTAGTACAGCAGAGCGCAGAGAAGGTGATGGAGAAGCAGCACAATGAGCCAGTTAACTGTGTTGCGTTGCAAAGAGCATGCTGATAGGAGGACAGTGCAGAGTGACTAGAGATAAGCTTATCAATTTGCTGCTTCTTTTTTCTCTGTGCAGCTGCAGGGTTGGATTGGGAAAAAGAACTGTAAGTGAAAGTGAAACTGCAGCTAAGAAAGATCAGGTTTCCTCCCCTACGAGGCAGGACCGTGCCGTATGGATAAGCTGTGTAAATTTCAGGACTGGATGAGCAAAAAGACATATTCTTTGGCCAGTAAAACAGCTCTTTTATATGTATTTCATATGTTGATTTAGCCTGGAGTCCCACTTTAGGTAACAGAGTCATTTTAAGTCCACTTTATGTTAAAAGCATATTTAATAACAGTGAGAAAATTGGATGAGAAGCAAAAAAAAGATTGTAATTTATGCGGCCAGCTCTACAATCTGTTTAGAGCTCATTATAAAGCATAGTTTATCCAATAACTGTATCAGAAGCTCATCCAAATTGTATGAATATGTTGGATCTCATGTGAGCCCACACATATTGGTCACACCACAGTATGTGTCATCTGTACAATAATTGTTTCATTATGCATTTATTTATGTCTCAATCACACCAGCAGGCTATGCTCAATGCATTTCTGCTGGTGTGCGCTGAGATAACCCAGCCGCAACACACTGTTTACATTTTCCTTTTTTTTTTCATTAGAACTTTATTTAAATACCAGCAGTGACATTTCATTTAGTTCTATTCCAATGCAGTGGTGTGAATTGGCCTTATAGGGAACAAGGCTTTCAGCTTTGTCTTGCTGTGGGACTGCACTGGGCAACCTTGTCCAGCACCGTACCAATGCACCTGATGTGAACAAGCCCTTTGTGAATAATTTTTGGTTGCCTGTGGAATTCTGTACAGCTGGAATCACATTTATTTATTATTATTTATTTTAGGTACTTATATAGTGCTGTCAATTTACGCAGCACTTTACATAAATATTGTACATTCACATCAGTCCCTAACCCTCAAGGGGCGTACAATCTAAGGTCCCTAACTTATGTTAATGCATACACATACTAGGGCCAAATTAGACAGGAGCCAATTAACCTAACAGCATGTCTTTGGAGCGTGAGAGGAAACCGGAGTACCTGGAGGAAGCCCATGCAGACACAGGGAGAACATGCAAACTCCAGGCAGGTGGTGCCGTGGTTGGGATTTGAACTGACAACCCTAGTACTGCTAGGTGGAAGTGCTAACCTTTTAGCCACTGTACTGCCCATATGTAACCTACTATTGATGCTTTTTTGATGCAGAAAAAAATGCACTGGGCTATATGTGGTGTGAACTGGACTTTAAAAAACATCAGGTGGTGCCATGGTTGGGATTTGAACCAACGACCCTAGTACTGCCAGGTAGAAGTGCTAATCATTTAGCCACTGTGTAACATCACCATGCTAACCAATAGACCATTCAGCAAGTGCTTCCATATTTCCTCCATATCAAATCAATATATAGCACATTTAGGCTTGTTTAATAAAGCAGCATGCATATGCAAAAGGATAAGCAGCACATAGTAGCCAATCAGATTTCAGTTTGATTTGCGGTTACTATGAATTATTTCACTTTTCACATCATTAGTACCCTGCTGCCTTATTGATCTGCTTCAGCTTCTCTTCTACAGGAAATGAAAGTCTGTGAAGGATAATACCATCAAGTGGCCATGGGAGAACCAAGCCATTACAGGGGCAGATATAATGCGATTGGCATTGTGCTACTGACCTAGGGATGACATATTTATTGGAACAAGTAGAGGGCTGCTGAATCTGGATTGGAACCTCAAGGGTCATTTACAATGATGCTGATGTGCTGGCTAGTAATGGGGGATGGATGTACTTGTGTGTGTCTTCCTATTTGGAAAACCATTTAGCTTATTTGCTTTATATATTTTTTTAAAGGACATTCAGCATTTTTGGGCATTTATATGCTTGTGTTTATAGTAGTTTTAAACTCACTTCTGCTGTATTGGTGTGTTGTGGTGCACTACAGTGGAAAACAATGCGGGGTGCAGCTTTAGGTGCATTGACACCTCACTGAAAGGCATTGTAAACCTTCGCACCTGCACCTTGTATTTTTCACCTGTGTAAGATGTGCATTGTTCATGTAGTGTCATTTGTTGTCCCGTATGCAGAGCCTATAGTAGAGTAAATCCTCACATTCCTTTGTCAGTAGTTTCAGTTTGTGTTGAAACATCAGGCATGCAGCATGGCACTGCAGAAGTGTTACTAAACCCAGGACCCTGCATTCACTTTATCTGGTCTCCCACAGTAGACAGAACATAAACTGCTAAATACCTCTATTCATCAGCAGTTAGAGCAGTCTTGTGACTTCTATCAGTGCCCAGCACAGCAGTGGTTAAAGCTTGTAGGAGGAGTTTTCTTTCTGCTCTAGGAGGATGCAAAACCCCTGACCTCTGTCTGGACAGTGCTGATTGGCCCTGTGCTGATCACATGCACTCTCCCAAGAAAAAAAAAATTCTCTAGCAAATACACACCACACTGAGCATGTGCATATGACTTCGGGTTCAGTCTGTCTTATCAGGAGATAAGATGTGGACATTTGAACAAGAGGAGGGGCATAGAAAACAAGATCAGATGGCCTTTTTACACAATGCAGAGGATTAACCTCTTAGTACAAAACCAAACAAGAGCATGTGCAGAGTGACTCCTAGAGCTCTATACTATAAGCAGATGGATTGGGGACAGTAGAAGAAGGGAAGGATCAGAGAAGACAGGACCATACAGCCTTTTTATATAATGCAGAGGATTAACCCCTTAGATACCATAGTGAGTATAACAAGCATGCTTTACTGCATATACAGACTGATTGTACTGTTGTGGGTTTAGTAACACTTTAATGCATGGCCTCTGTCTGTAATGTTAGACCTGACACTTCCTGTGAAGAAACTATATATCCCACAATCCCTAGTTCTCTCGGTCTTGTGCTCTGCAGGTGAGAACTGCACAGTAATTAGATCTGACACAGACACAAACAGGCAGAGCTTTCACAGACACACAGAGAGCTTACTTATGCAGCTAGGTGATGCATCGCTTCCAACTGTCCCTGATTTCAAGGGCCCGTCCCTCATTCAGAACAAAATCCCCCTGTCCCTCTTTCCTCCTCATTTGTCCCTAATTTTGGTCTGATCTATATAGTTGTATATAAAATGCACTTCTTATTTATCAAAAAGTGTTTCCTGGTGCTAAACTTTTCATCCAATTTCTGAATTGTTGCATTTGTAAATTCCAAAAGCCAACATAAAGGAACAGTAGTGGCAAAAAAAGCACTTGTGGGTTTAACCAATCATTTTTTTTTACAATTCTCCTTTAAGGGGGGTGTGTCCTGTGCCTACATTCTTTTGCTGATAGGTGTCCTTCGTTCCCATCTGAGAAAGTTGGGAGGTATGGGTGATGTATTTCATCAAATTAGCTCTCCCACATTTGTGATGAAACGCAGAAAAGATGGCGAGGCATGCATTGAATGCTGTGACCTGAAATGGAAAGTTTGCATGTCCCCTTGGCACATAGGGACAGGTTAGGTGAAGCAACACTTGGACATAGGGGAGTCTATCAGCCATGACACTACAAACTGTATCCGCAACATGTGAGCCCATCATTACAAGGTAAAGCAAACAAAAAACACATGGCATATAACGACACTAAGGGCCGGTTCACACCATAGAGACACAGTCCAGATGCGTTCCAGATGCATTTCTGCATGCACGTTTTTTACGCATTTTTTGGCACTTCCAGTGCATTTTTTGTGTTTTTGACTCGTTCTGGTGCGTTTTTGATGCTTTCCAGTTAATTTTTTCCCTTCTAATTTTCTTCAATTCAAATAGGGACATGTGCGTTGAAGAGTGATTTGGTGCGTTCCAGTGTGTTTTTGATGTGTTTCATTGCTTTCCAGTACAAAGTGCAGTAATGTGCACACTGAACCGCCAGCTCATGGAACTATACCTTACATATGACATATGGATCGTTAAGTGCAGAGTGTGTGAATGTACATTTTCTGCCTCCCCCTCCTGGATTGGAACTTGCAGACTTTGGGAGGACAAGACATATATACAATATAGGGACTGGCCTGCAAAATCAGTACATTTAGAAGCCGTGCATTATAATAGTTCCTATAGTTCAGGCAGATTTCATCCATATCACTGTCTGGAAAACAAGTAAATGATATTGGCAGCAGATTCAGTAATATACTGCTCCCCACCCGCTTCCATCCTGACAGTTCAGCCTATAAAGAGGAAAATAATTGGCTTTGCAGTAAATCAGATGCCAGGGTCACCTCATCAGGGACTATTTACATGCACAATAAGATATGTCTGTCTAACTGAATGTGTTCTGCTTGTGAAATCCACAGCGGAACCTTTCCATGGCTGCAGTTTATTGCCGCCAAGGCGCTTCACTGAGCGCCAATAATCACAAAGACTTGCAATGTT